TTTTTTTTTTACTTTAATTCATTAACAACAAATTTATACAAACTGTAAAATGAGGTGTGGTAGAATTCACCCAATCTTTCATACACTGTAACACTTTAGCCTGACAGGGCGCAACGAGATGGATATGACTTTTTTTGTTGCTATATCTAGAGATATTTTCAAACATGTTCTGAAAGTTTTGGAAAAATCGTTACGGTACGTTTACATTCCTTATCGTAACACTACAGTATGACGGTTTGATGGGGACTGCTTGTATTCAACAACCTTGGCTATTAAAGAACTCGTTAGTAACAATGTAGGTTGAGGTGCATGCAAGGGTTCGATAATTCATAAATCCCCAAAAAATTATGTTGCCCACAAGTGGAAATGAAAAATGGCCGCTGCCGTTGTGTTTCAAAACATTATAGCCGTTATGGCTGCGTATCACGCGTTTTTGCCTAAATAATTCTTTTTGTTTGCTTGCCTATATTATTTGATACAGTTTGATTTCTGGTAAATCTAATAACGTGAAATTTATCAAATTTTTTATGAAGCAATGGTAGAAGTCAGAAATTCGCTAAAAAGGTAGGAGATCGAGTTGTGGCTAGGAACATGTACTGTATATTCTCTTGGATTTGGGTTAGATCAAAAAAAGTGAATATCTTGTTTTAGTTAAGTCGCAAATTTCAGCTATGTTCAACTCACTTTTTGCCTCTTCACCGGCAGTGGCTAAACCGTCGAAACCGATGTATGCGAAGAAACAGGATGCGGCACCAGCAAGCATTCCGTTCACTCCATACGGAAAAAATCTGAAATCAGTTTTTCACTTTTTCGGCATAGTATCATACCAATACTCCACGATTTTTTTTTATCTCAGCGGGTCCTTTTGCAAAAATTTTCAAAAAAAGCAAAACAAAACTCACTTCGAATTACCCTTCTCATCAGTGCCAGTCCATAGTGAAAAGTCTGCGAATGTAATACCATAACCAACCACAATGACTATTACCTGGAAAGGGTTAATTTTTTATTTCTTATGCCCTGCCTCTCCTTTTGTACCACTCGATCCCATACGTTTTATTGTTATATGAATTTCTAATCCGGAGATTTGACTAACACAACTACTTTTCTCGATAATTTGAGGTAACAAAAATCAGCCTTGTAGTATTTTTTTTCTGCAAGTTTGAACAGCTGATGTCATATGAAGCTTGCCTGCAAAGATAATAATAAACTTGCAAACTGTATGTTGCTCTTCATCCTACTACAAAGAAAGCTTTGCAGACATTCTCGTAGTAATGTTCTCAAATTACAAGAGATCGGATAACGAAAAGGCTAACATCGCAAAAGAAGGATTTTTTCGTTTGTTTCAATGCAAATAAAGATGGATATGGCTACTTTGCTCAACGAAAACTTCTAATGTTAGTTAATAAATACATAATAGTTTGCAGGTCATTGCAACTTCGCTGCCTAGTTTCTTCTTTCTCAGCTTGATTTTTGTACTTCTTAAGGATAATGTTCTGTCAAAGTACCCTAGATACTTTGATAAAACGTGAACGTGAGCTTCCTTATCTGACGGATAATTCTAAAAAAGAAACCGATTTGTTTACCGGTGAGCTCACCTATACGATATGCAAAGTTAACACATGCCAAGCTAGAGCGAATCTTATAAAAGATTTAATATCAGTCTCTTCGCAATTTATATGTAAATATTCAATGTGTAGATGACTTTCTAGGGATCTGAAGACATTTGCTTATGATAAACCAAGTTTGGTTTAAAGCATCTTCTTGGATAGCTTGCAGATTATGGATTTGCTCTGCGCTGTCCAAAGCAGAACTT